GTATCTGTGTCTGCATGTGTCTCTGTCTGTATATGTGTAGGTGTGTGTGTGCATGTATGAGTGTGTCTGTGTCTTTGCATACATCTCTGTGTCTACGTGTGTAGGTGTGTGTGCATGTATGAGTGTGCCTATGTCTGCATATATGTGTGCGTCTCTGTGTGGGCATCTCTGTCTGTGTCTTGTGTGTGTAGGTGTGTGTCTGCGTGTGTGCATGTATGAGCGTCTATATTTGTGTATGTGTCTGTGTATCTGTGTTTGCATGCATCTGTGTGTATGTGAGTGTCTTTGCATGTGTCTGTGTATCTGTCTGTGTGTCTTGTGTGTGTGTCTTTTTTGTGTATGTGTGTCTGTGTCTGTATGTGTCTGTGATTACATAAGTGCATGTGTGTGTGTGTATGAGAGTTGGCACTCAGTGTAACCCTCCCCTAAGTCCCAGCCCAACCACAGGGACCCCCAGCTTCCCACCCCTGCCCCCAGCAAGTGCTACCAGGAACCCACCCCCTTCGCTCCAAGCACTCCAACCCACACACTGCCGCCTGGCCTGGTGGAGCTGTGCCTGCCCCGGGGCTGGGGCCGGGGTGCAGTTGGGGCTGCCCCGGCAGCTCTGACGGGTGCTTCCCCGGCAGATACATGAAGTACCTGTACCCCTACGAATGTGAGAAGCGGGGGCTGAGCAACCCCAACGAGCTGCAGGCCGCCATTGACAGCAACCGGCGAGAGGGCCGGCGGCAGAGCTTTGGCGGCTCCCTCTTCACCTACTCGCCCAGCGGCACCCACAGCATGCTGTCCTCCCCCAAGCTGTCAGTGCCTGCCCTGGGGCTGGCCAGCGCAACCAACGGCAGCCCCATCACCCCGGTGCAGAAGATCAAGAAAGGTAACGTTGCTCCTGGTCTTTCCCCAGGCCCGGGCAGTGTCTGCAGCAGCCAGGCAGGCCCTGCGAACACCCCCGACATCTCCAAGGGATGGGCTTCATGTTGCCTTTCCTGGGGCTTGTCAGGCAGGTGCTCCATAGAGCCGCGCCCTACTGCGCTCACAGCCCGGCTGGAAATGAAACCCAAGGGCTGCGCCTCCTGCAGGACTTCTTGCTTTAACCACTGTACCACACATCGCCACCCCAGCTTGGGCTAACCTAGGACCCAGGTGTCCCAGCATCCAGGCCTGAATGCATTGGATGCCCAACTCTTTATGCAGCCTCCCTTTATGTCAGCATCTCAAAGTGATTTAGGACCCAGGGGTTGGCAACGGGGGAGGTTCTGGAATTGGAGAAACTGAGGCAGAGAGGTTTGTCTCATGCTGTGCAGCAAAGCACCTGGGAGCAGGTTGAGATCAGGGTGGGAATCTGCATCTTCAGATCTCACTCCCCACCTCCTGCAGCTGAGCGTGGGATCCAGGCTGAGGCCCAGCCCACCCCCCAAGGTGCAAGTGCTAGACCCCAGTCCCGTGCCTGGGGTGTAAAAGTTTAGGACACCAGGTTGCAGAGACCTGGCAACACTCGGCACATGCTGCAGCCTGGAGCAGCCCTCACCGGGCTCCCACGCTCTGTCCCCGTTGCAGAGGAGGACACCCCCATCCCCATCTCCGTGCCCAGCCGCCTCCCTGTGTCCCTGGCCGGTCACCCCGTGGTAGCAGCGCAGGCCGCAGCCGTGCAGGCCGCTGCAGCTCAGGCTGCTGTGGCCGCTCAAGCCGCCGCCCTGGAGCAGCTGCGAGAGAAACTGGAGTCTGGGGAGCCCCCCGAGAAGAAGATGGCGCTGGTGACGGACGAACAGCAGCGGCTGATGCAGCGCGCCCTGCAGCAGAACCTCCTGGCCATGACGGCTCAGCTGCCCATGAGCATCCGCATCAACAGCCAGGGCACCCGCTCGCCAGGTGGGTCCGGCGGGGGCAGCACAAGGGGTTGGGGGCACCCAGGCTAACACTGTACGTCTGCATGGGGAGCTGAACCCAGGCCTCTAAATCGGTGATACCTGAGTCTCTGCTGGCGGCCCAAGCACATCAGCCCTGGGGGCCTAATCCTCCCAAGCAGAGGGTGGAGCATCACGCAGGGCAGGGGGTCACACTGGGAGCTGCCCGGGGCCTGTTCAGCCCATGCCAGGGCTCTTTCTCCATCACCCCCTGCTCCAAACCCACCCGGCGCAATGACATCGGTCTCCTTCGCCTCAGTGCTGCCTGCCCCGTACAGCCGAGCAGGCTCTTAAAGCCCCGTGTCTGTAAGCGTCTGGGGGCCGTATCATCCAGCCCAGTGAGCAGAGCGGAGAAAGGGGTGGTCGGCATAATGGGCCCAGGTGACTTGTTCTTCATCCTCTTCATCCCCTGATGTGTCCCATAGCAGAAAACCGGCAGGATTCCAGCCTGAATCTGGGCAGCAACGGCACCAACAGCATCAGCATGTCGGTGGAGATCAATGGCATTGTCTACACAGGTAAGGGGGTCTGTGTGAGTGCGGGACCCGCAGCTCTGCAGCCACTTCCTGCCCCAAAACCCGATGCTACAAGGCACCCAGAGGTGGGGGTGCCTTGGGTGACCTGCCCTTGGGACATAACGTCACGGTCCTACGGCTGGGGCGGCTGCATGCATTGTGTGGATCAGAGCAGGTTCTGGACTCGGCATCTGCCCAGACTCAGCCTTCCCCAGCCCTTTTGATCTGGGGACCCGGGCAGCAAGGACTGATCTCCAGGCAGTGCCCCGAGGTGGCTGCCCTGGGGGTCACAGGCTGCTGCAGCTGGAGGCTGAGAGCAGGGCCCCGTGGTGCCAAGAGCCCGGGCACAGAGTCCTTCCCCAGCGCACCTCCATGCGGACCAGAAGGAGAAACTGAGGCACAGGGCAGAGCAGGGGATGGGACCCAGGCCTCCTGTACCCATGCACCAAACACTTGCTTTGCTGCAATTCGTGCAGGCTCTGGAGCAGCCTAGCAATTCCCTAAGGGGAGAACAACTCGAGGCAGCTCCAGCAGAGACAAGGGCCTCCGGGAGAGACGTCTCCTCCTCGCTGCTGGGGGGCATCCAGGCTTCCTGACCACCCCACCCCTCTACTCTGTGCTCTCTCCCCAGGTGTGCTGTTCGCCCAGCCCCCCGGCCCTTCGTCCTCCTCGCTGCCTCCCTCCACCTACAACAAAGGCAACACCAGCACCAGCCGCAGCAGCAGCGGAGCAGGCAGCGCCCCTCCGGCAGCTCCCCCGGCGGGTTTGTCAGCCCCTCCGACCTCGACCTCCAATAACTCTTCGCCTTAGCCACCCCCTTCCTCCCCCCCACCCCGCGGCAGCGCCTCATCTCGCCAAAACCCTAATAAAACCCAGCCGTACAGAGTGCTCCGATCACAGCTAACGCCAAAAAAAAAAAAAAAAAAAAAAAACCCAAGAGCCGCTTGCCTCTGGCTTTCCAGGGCAGGGGCTGTTCACTCTCAGCCCCCAGAGGGTTTGGGATGAAAATGAGCAAAAAGAAAAAAAAAGCTTTAATTTTGGGGAAGGGGAGGGGGGTCATTGAGAAGCCGCCTGGGTCCCAAGCCGGCGGCTTGTGACGCAATGCATTGTAATCCCAGAACCGATTACCTCACACACCCGCCACATTGCACTGGACAGGAATGAACATTATTCCTATTTCGACTCGTCGAGGGTGGCCCTTGATTTGACCCCGGGACCCCTCCAGCCTGAGGCAGAGCCCTGCGATTTTTTTTTCATGGAACCCCCCCCGCTTTCCCCCCTTCCATCCTTTCTTTTTTATTTTTAATTTTATTTTATTCAGGTCGGGGGGTGCAGGAAGGCCTCGGGAAACTGGGGTGACGTTTGATTCCTTTATTTTATGAGCGATGTTTGTTTGAGAGACGTGGAGTTTGACGGGGGGGGCGGGTGGCGTTTGATCACATTGTTGCTCTTGTAAATAGCTTCTATTTTATTTGCTAAGAGAATCGAACCTTAACACACAGAATTATATATATTCACGTTCGTTCAGGGAGACAGAACTCGGGAAAACTTGTAACCCCTTTTGCCCCCCCCCCACTGCCTTCTTGTTGCTGTCGCCCCCCGCCCGTTCTGGTCCGTGCTCCCCTCTTTCCAACGCTGCTGACACCCAGGGGCTTCTGCAAGCCGGGCCGTTGGCAGCGCATGAGCTCAGGTGTTTGTAGGCAGGGGGGTGGGATGCGGGGGGGAGTCGGGTTTGGAAGTCACGGAGAGACGCGGGGGGGCAGATCTGTGTTTCTTAGGAGCCTCGTTTCTAGCACTGCCTCGCTTCGGGTGGGGGGGATTCTGCGTTCCTAGTACCTGCTTGTTTCAGGGATAAAAGTGAAAGGGGGGTCGGGGTCCCCCTCTGCTGCTAAACCCGCTCCGCTTATGCTGGTCCCCTCCGCCTGGGGATCCCTAGGAGGTGTGCGGCCCCGATCCGGCAAACGGTGTCGCTGTGCACTTGTTTGGAGGCCAGAGGTGGGGGCTTCAGAGATTCAGAGCTTAGCGCGTGACTGTCCGTCGTCTTGGCTAAGCACAATCGGCGAGGCCCCGAGGCAGCCAGACGCACAGTTGAGGCCCGCGGGTGTTTGCAAATGCGTTGGGGTTCAGGTTGAAGCAGCGTGTCGGTTTGGGGCAAGGGGTAGCAGGGAGGTATTGCCCGCGAGTTAGAAGCCGAAGCCTGGCCATAGCCATGCCCCCCCTTTGCCTTCACAGTGCCATGATCCCAGCCCAGCGCCTGCAGTTCCAGCCCCGTCCCCCTGATCTGCGCCCCCCCCCC